CAGCCACACAAATCATACAAATTAACATATATCCCCATGCCTTTGAAATTATTGATGAACTACACAAAAATCATGGTTGTAGTTATAGGGAAAAACAAATTCATCATAGAAAACTTATATGCATTATTTTGATAAATTCAGATGATTTCAAAGCTTTTGATCTTCAGCATTTCTTGCCCCATCCATTTAACTTCCATTGATTGGTATTTTCTATTAAATCATCTCTATAAGCAAGTTGAGTTACCTAAAATTTACCTGGCTATTAGAAAGATAGAAGAAAACACAGATCACAAGTGCTAACAAATCACACAGTCACAAACATCTAGATACTTTTTTTTTTGGAACAAAGAAATACAAATATAAATAAATTTAGATAGTTATTATTTTTCATTGATGATTTTCAACAGAGTACATTTTCGATTTCAAATAGTTAAATGATAACAACAACAAATACCCATAGGATATTTCTCGTCAGGAATGCATTTGCCCGTGTTGAATCCTCGACTGATGCAGTTGTTCGGACAGTTATTAAACCCTCCACAGGGTCCATAGCAGTTTGTAGAAGGTTCTTGAGCTTTCCCTACATTTCACCCAAAACCAAAACAAATAGTAAGAGTATGTACTGATATTTTACAATAGAAACGTTATTAATATTTCTCATAGCCTGCTATTGAAATAGATATGAATAATTGCAGCTTATAGACGGATATAACCTGGAGCAGTGAGAAAAAAGATGACTATCCAAGAGACCATCACGAAGCTCATGAATCCAATCTTGCAGTTCATTTTTAATGTATTGTTAAAATATAAGTTATGCTTTTATATCTGCTCTTATGAGTTCTCTTTGTACTATTTTATAGTCACACAAATTTTGATTTAGGAAAACATATCAGCACAATTCATTTATTTTTTTCCGCCTATGATAAGGAAACAAACAAAATTTGATCTGTATTATTTTCCATAAACTGTCACTTTTCATTTATTTTCTTGCCAATTAAGAGATGCTTGGGTTATTCATTTGTGTTTCATTTCTTTAATAAATATTTTACTCTAAATTTGGTTTGTATTAATTGCCATTGACTAGCACATTTCAAATCTATTTATTAATGTTTGACTCTCTTAATTATCTAAGAAAAGATAAAATACTCCCTCTATTTTTAGTTAATGAATTTTCTGAGATTTTCACATATTAAGAAAAAGTTAAATATCAATTATAAGTGTACATTTTTTTTTAAAATAAGACAGCTTTTTAGAATTTGTAAACCAATAGAAATCCAAAAAACATAACTGTTGAAAATGAAATCTGAATCTTTTTGTACTAAGTCATTTGAAATAAGTTTCCAATGGAGTTTTATGAGTAAATTATTAAAAACTGAATCCATGCGATATTGCAGATAGATTCTTAAAATAAGACAAAAATTTTAAATCTAAAGGATTATAAAACCTATAGAATTCATTTCAAATACATAATTGAATAATCCCCCTAAGTGATTTTGAATTATTTTGTAAAATGTGACCTTTTCTGACTCTCTGACCGGCTAAATGTACTCGTTCATATTTTTATTTCTAACACAAATGAAGATAACAAAATAAATCGTTGAATACGAAGGCAGTGATATAGGGATTCTCAATTTAGTCAAAAGTCTAATTCTGAGCATTGGTTGAATATGACAACTACCGCATGATAGATCGCGTATAAGTGCATTATGCCAAACCCCTAGGTATCTGAATTTGAGAGTATAGACAGCCACACAAATCATACAAATTAACATATATCCCCATGCCTTTGAAATTATTGATGAACTACACAAAAATCATGGTTGTAGTTATAGGGAAAAACAAATTCATCATAGAAAACTTATATGCATTATTTTGATAAATTCAGATGATTTCAAAGCTTTTGATCTTCAGCATTTCTTGCCCCATCCATTTAACTTCCATTGATTGGTATTTTCTATTAAATCATCTCTATAAGCAAGTTGAGTTACCTAAAATTTACCTGGCTATTAGAAAGATAGAAGAAAACACAGATCACAATTGCTAACAAATCACACAGTCACAAGCATCTAGATACTTTTTTTTTTTAGAACAAAGAAATACAAATATAAATAAATTTAGATACTTATTATTTTTCATTGATGATTTTCAACAGAGTACATTTTCGATTTCAAATAGTTAAATGATAACAACAACAAATACCCATAGGATATTTCTCGTCAGGAATGCATTTGCCTGTGTTGAATCCTCGACTGATGCAGTTGTTCGGACAGTTATTAAACCCTCCACAGGGTCCATAGCAGTTTGTAGAAGGTTCTTGAGCTTTCCCTACATTTCACCCAAAACCAAAACAAATAGTAAGAGTATGTACTGATATTTTACAATAGAAACGTTATTAATATTTCTCATAGCCTGCTATTGAAATAGATATGAATAATTGCAGCTTATAGACGGATATATTATACTATTGTGTCTACAGGACAACAATTTTTAATTTCTTTTAACATATTTGTATTAGTAGTATTATTTCCATTTATAAACTTCAGGTTTATATGTTCTTAGATGCAATATTTTCTTTAGATTGCTCTCTTGGTGATATCACTTCTGGTGATTATTTATTTTCTTTAGAATAATATCATATCACTTCCGGTGATTTTACCTTTTCTTTAAATTTTTCTTAAAGAAATTATAAACATAATTAACATGTAATTAACAATAAAATGAAGGAAACCAATGAGTTATAAATTAATATTGAAAATCAATGAACCAATGATCTAACATTTCTCAATTAGACGAAACAAGGATTCATGTCAAATCATAATCAAATTAATATCAGAACTTAAATAAGATCATAAGCCAGCCAAGTCATAATCATGATTCATAGGATCTTAAATTAACAATATATCACTATAGCAAGCAAAAGTGTAAGTATGACACCAAAATTGCTAATACATACTCTAGACATATACAAAACATTATTTGCAACTAGAATAGCTTTACATGCTTAAACGTTTATTCTTAGTTCTTGTAAACATGCCTTATAAAAATAATTAACTCATAGTTTAAGTATTATAAGAATCATGTATTTAAGCATAATGCAAGAAATATAAAAGAAACAGAACTAAACCAACCAACGATTTACTAAGCTTACTCAGTGATTTTTCAAGCCAAACATTAGTAAACAAACAGACCAAATCAAATTATACAGCACAGCTTTTTAGTCAAACAATAGAAGAATCAATCATGCGACTATATCTCAACACATATGACTGAATAAGCATGGTTAAGAGTAAGATTCCATCACACAGCAAATAATATAGAAATATTTAACGGTTTTGGTTTCAATTTATTAATCAAACCAAACGATAATGCAATAGATATTAGAGTGGTACTTAGCTCAATCCGTAATGACGACGAGAGAGATTGGAGACACGTAGGCTATGCAGCAACAAACCGAACATACACCAAGCCAAAGAATCTGACACATATAAAATATCGTATACCATGAATATGTATATTACAATATTTTAAAGTTCACAAAGACATCTCAATTAGTGATCTGATCTATTGATCTAATAATATACAATACTTATCTTTGATGAAGATGAAGGTAGAGGATGGAGTCGTATATTGAGTTACGACAGAATCAAAAGTCTCGAAGGATGATGATTAGGGTTTTGCTTTGACGGCTACCGTTTGATGGTTACTCAGACGGCTAGGGTTTTAACCTAATGGTTAGAGACTCGTGCTGATAATGTGTTATAGTGAGAAGAGAGAACAAAAGAAGAGAGGAATTGGTTGTGTGTTATTCCATTAGTAATGAGCTCCTTATATAGGATTACAATATAGGGTTTTTCTTGAAGAAGAATACATTTGGAGAACAAGCTAGAACATTCTAGAATATGGGCCGATAATGGATTTCCATATAAACTAGTTATAACAAGAAGTAATTTTTATGTAGAAAGTAATAGTTATAACCGATGACGGAATCCGGAATCGAGACAATTGAGGGGCCATGTGTTTGTTGATTTGTGAAACGTGTATAATATGTTGTCAAGAAGTTTTTCATACTTGGTTTAGAATCACATGTTAAAATCTAAATGTCTAACTGCCACATTTCAATGCTTTCTTTTCTTTTTTGTAACATAGAACTTTATATCAATCAAAATGTTTGGTTAAACCAAAATTGACATACTTAAGTTGATTAGTTTAGTAGTTTGTGTTAGTGTCTTTGCATAAAATATATTGTTTGACAAAAAAATGAATACATTTTGCAATCTAATTAATAATAAAAAAAATCGTGTCGAATTTTAATGATTTATATCTGACTATATATAATTAAATAACTGCTATATATGAACAGTATAAGTTGTATTCACATGTACTAGTAATATAGATTAAGATCAGTATAATCTTCTTCCGTTTAAGCATGTTGCAGTAGCTAACCTACGTACGTACTCAACCTTGAAATACTTAATGACTTAAACACTTGATGTTGGAGTACAATTTTCTTATATCAGAATTGAATTGACGTGGAACAAGATACATGTAGTTTTAGCTATTCTTCCCATTTTCATAACTACGGCATTTTTCGTTGTCATATACAGTACTGAAATTACTCTATTAGCATCCGATTGTTTTGTCATTTTAGTTTTAGAGTTTTAGTTGTGCTTCACCATTTTAGTGTAAGAAGGGAAGTACAATTTTACCTATTGTTTACTCACACTCGAATTTACTCTAGTAACTAAAATTAAGTAAATCCTTTTTTTTTTTGCCGGCAAGTAAATCTTGTCCTATACATATCACAAACATAAATCGACTTGCAAATTTTTAAAAAGTTCGGACCAATATCATACAAAATCCATAAAACTCGGGCTAGGGCCCAACAGTATTGACTGATAAAACAAAACAGAGAGGACCATCGACCATATTTTTTTTCCCGTTTCGAAGAGAAAAATCACACTAATCCGAGACGAAGACCAAGCGAGCCCTAATTTCCAATCATGCCGCAGAATCTGAGATCCTTCATTATCGCGCAGGTAATTAAGTCGAAGATCTGGTTATGGTTAATACTTTCTCAAGACACGAATTTGAGATTCCGTCATTGTTGCGTACGTAGGTGACTCGCGGAGGGCGATCGGTTTTGTCTCGCCGCAGTTTCTCTTCATCCCGTAGAAGCAATGGTAACGTTCTCTGATTTCAATGTAATTCTTCTTAACTCGAATATATGGAATTCGCGATCGTGGGGTTTCAATGTATTCTTACACGATGATTTAGGGGCATCAACTGAAGAGCTGGAGGAATCATTGAAGGTATTACGCACCATCTCCTTACTTCGTATTACAGGATACCCTCTGGGATGCTACGCAGGTATGGATGAAGAGGGTGAAGGAATCTTTTTATTCCCTTGATGTTTCTAATGTTTCCTCGACTAGTCAAATTAATTAGCTTTTTGTTGTATTAAGGTTATTGTTTTGCCTATCTGTGACATAGTGTCGCCAGCTGTGACATAAGCATAATTATGCTTTCCCCAAGAGAACTTTAGTGTCGCCAGGCCCGGCTCAATGTTTTGCTGGACCTAAGGCAAAAACAAAATTTGGCAAAAACAAAATTTTGGGCCTTTTAACATAAGCATTTTTAAAAATAAATATATTTGGACTTTTTAACATAAGAAATTTTTAATTTGAGGTTTTTTTTCCTAACTAAATACTACTGAAAAATTAGAATGAGTCAATGGCCTCCGCCGCCCCCTAGAGCCGGGACTGAGTGCCTCACTATATGTAGCACAAACTATGACCTCGATCTAAATATGCCTGACAATAAAGTTTAAGACCTAAATCCCCATGAAATTAAAATTAGAAACTTATATCTCCACAAATAAAAGTTTGAAACCAAAATACCCATAGAACTTGAGTATTTTGGTTACTAAATGTGTTAGTCAATGTGTTATATATTCAAGACATTCACAGATGTTAGTCATAAATTTGTGACGTTGTTGTTACTAAATAATATTTGTGACGACTTTATTGCTACCATTAACAAATCGTCACATTTCCATTACAAAATTATGCTTATTGTGACAGTAAAAATCCTAACAATATCTCTTTCTTCTTGTAGTGCAATAACACCAACAAACGTTGTGCATCACACCCACACTAGTTCTTACACCAACAAAGTTGTTAAGGTATTCCAATTGAATCTGAATAATAGACAAATCGTGATGAGTATATAATTCATATATCACAGATAAACAAGAATAAAAGACCAACCAAAAATCAGGAGCAAATAAATCGTTTACCCTATTGGATTGAAGGTCTTGAAGTTTTAAACTGCATATAGACTTCAAACCAGGAGCTAACGGTTCGCAGGTTGCAGCAACCTCCAGTTTAGCCTAATGTCAACAAACAAATTTAACAAATGTGATAGAGATATTCAACAATATTTTCGAAAACATAACAAGGTAAAGATCCAATCTTACACTAGAATTTGTTGAATAGTTGAAATCACTAGTAATATCCAGTCTCCTTGATTGAACATTTTGAATAGCAATGATCCCAATCAAACCATCATTATTTTTACTCAAGGTTGAAGTAACATTAAAACTACCATATGGTTTAGATATGATTCTCATCTTCTGCTCCTGATTTTTATCTTAGATACCTTGTGTTAGAGCAAAGCGGAAGCTATACCAAGAGTATTCAACCGACCTTTGAGCAAAGTAGGTGTAACTCCTTTGAGCAGTAGCATGTGCCTGATTATATTTTATAGATTGAAGATCGTGTATTTCTTGTGCAATAATTCAATGCTTATGCTAATTTGAGAACAGACATATTTCAAATCATATGTTCGTCGTGTTTGGTGTGATTGGCAATCAGACTCTATGTTTATTTTGACATTAATGCTGGAAAATTCAGAAAATTAAATGTTGGTTTAATATTGATTTCATCTTGTTTTACGGCTAGTATATCAACTGTTTTATTGAATTTTTTGTTTTTAACATTTAGGAATTGCGCTTTTGCATGATTTTTTACGTATTGTTTTGTGTGATTTATCATTTGGTGAGCGGTGGATGAATTCAAAATAATTTCTTTTATCAATTTTCCAGCATTTATTTTGAAATTAATGCTGAAAAATTCAGAAATTTAAAAGTTGGTTTAATATTGATTTCATATTGTTTTACGGCCAGTATATCAACTGTTTTATTGATATACAAACATAAAAAAAAAGAAACAAAAATTGTTTTCCTTTTTATGTTGTTGTGATATTAATCTATAAGTGTAGTCTATAGTTCTTGTGCTAAGCAACAAAATATGTATATGTTAATCTACCTTTTTAATGTTGTCTTGCTTTTTTCATTTATATTTCTGAAATTTGTAGACTGATATTGAAAGAAATAATTTCTTCATATTTGGATTTCTTTCCTCGAGTCAAATTAATTAGCTTGTTCTTCTTTTTGTGTATTAAGGTTATTTTCTACTTGGAAATAGTGTAGCGAAGATTAAGAAGCAGCGGCAAAGGTAATTTCTTTTTCTTTTGTTCAAATATAATAATTTATTTCTAAGAGAATCTCGGCTTATGTGAATGAATGTATGAAGCTTGGCCTATGGTTTACACTCAGAACTATGATGATTCAATTTTTTATCCGACATGTTTAAATAATACATTCATTACAAGTCTAAAAGTCTCCTAAAGATGAACCATATGCTCCAGATAGAACTAGTTTTACTTGTTGTAGGGGAGAGACAAAGTCACTGAGAACAGAAACGGGAACAAGTATAGTAACTGGGTCCAAGATTAAAATAAGCACTGCAAGAATCTTAACTAAAGATGGAGAGAAAATTACAAATAAAAACAGAAAATGTTTGGTTTAGCCATCCAATTAAAAAAAAAAATATAAACCTTCATAAGGAGGAATCTAAAGACACGGCAATGTATCTTATATATATATATATATAGCTTCAGTATCGAAAACAAATTTGATTTTCACATCTGATTGGTTAATTCAGAGATACTAAGGTAACAGTAAATTGACATTAAATAAGCAAAAAATCAGCTGGTCAGAAGAATTTGAAAGCTTCTCTTTCTCTGCCAGCTTCATTTCAGTCCGCTCTTACCTTGATCTCTCCATAGAGACTAGGATCTGCTTCATAGTATACAACATCTCCTTCATCGCTCACATAATGATCTGCTCTGATACTTTTTCCGAGAATTTCCAGCAAATGCAATGGCAAAGGTCCAGACTTATCTGGCTCCCTGTAATACTTCCCTAATACTGGTTTAGCTGCTTCTGTCTGCACAAGAGAAAAGCCGCAAGCAAACACACACACAAAGTATTAAGCCTTTGTAGCATCATGACCACCAAAATCCCAAAAACAGTATGTTAGTGTGTTGTTCTCAGTTACTTACTGCTTCTACTAGATGATAATGTGGGATCTGCGGGAATAGATGATGTATGACATGAGTTCCAATGTCGTGATGGATGTTGTTGATCAATCCGTAGTCACGATCCAATGTTGTAAGTCCTCCTCTCAAATAACTCCATTCCTGGTTTGAGGAGAAACCATGAGATTAGCTTTAACCTTAAAAGTAAGAGCATTGTAGCCAAAACAAGAGTGGAAAAGCAGAGGCTATTCGCCTTTTACCTTCCCACGGTACCAAGGAAGCTTATCTTCATGACCATGGTGATGCAGGTAAGTCACAAAGTCCAACCACATAACATTTATCTGTATCCGACATAAAGTGAAAACAACTCTCGTTTAAGGGCAGAGAAAACAAAACACAAACTGCTTAGTCGGAAACAGAGGAGTCATTACCCAGTAAGGAATTGCATAAAGTTTGAGCATTTGCATTGGACCCATCACGAAGTTGAGACAGACAAGCAGAGCAGCCATTGCAGTCCAACAAGCAGTGGAAGTGAGAACATCTTTTCTCTCTTTAGGGAGGAACAAGTCGCTGTCCGGATGGTAATGAGAACCCTTTTTCCCCGGACTTCGAGCCCACTGAATCAGATTGAACAAAACAACATGAGCTTTGTCTTTATAACTTGGATGTGTCAGCTTTAAGTTACGGTAACAAAAACAAGACGAGCTTTTACCAAGTAGAATGGGTATGCGAGCATCACAAGCGGCAGTGTAAATCTAAAGAATTTCGTCGGTCTGTCCAAACTCTTGTAGATTTTCTCAGACATCTGCAGTTACAGAAACATGTAAGAATCACACCACCACAGGACTAAAAACAAGATAAAACGAGAAAAAGCTTGTGTTGAGTTAACTTACAGGATGCCAAGATTCGTCGTTCTCAACATGTCCATGGTTCTGGTGATGAGTTCTGTGACTAATTCTCCTGCAGACACAACCAAAGTCATATATCTATTTACATGAAGAAAAATTATGATTTTTTAGGAAAAGGGTTTTAAAAAGGAAATAACTCACCAGCCATGGTAAGGGACCAGGATTGAGGAATGAAGAAGATGACCCACCACACTGTTCAACCTCGGATCATTTGAGAAGCTTCCGTGTCCACTGAAATCGACAGAGTAACAACAATTATAAAAAATATCAAGAACAAGCAAAACCTAATAACTAGATGCCAATTGGGTTTGGTCTACAAGCAACATGACGATGATGATAATGACAACATGAAGAAAACTATTGAAGTCAAGGGGTAAAGATAAGATTTTTTTTGTTCAATTGGTTCCAAATTAAAGTGGGAATCATCCAAAGTTGACCAAAACAGAGGCTAAACAGGGAGGAATCAATTTCGGGGAAAAGAACAAAATTAGGGATTTGGTTGTTAATTTACCAGTCATGGCCAAGAACAAAGAGAGCCCAGAACATGGTTCCTTGAGCGAGCCAATAGAGAGGCCAAACAATCCAATTGTTGAGGTAAGCAGCTCCAGCAGCCAACGCGAACACGATCGCGACGTCTCTCACGACGTAACTCATCGACTTCCATGGATTCTTAACCCAGCAATGCTTAGGTATAGCTGCTCTGATATCCGCCAGATTGAACGGAGGAGGAGCAGCTGGATCGAAACTCTGCGTTTCGTGTTCTTCCTCCTCGATCGGAGACTCGACTCTCAGAGGTGTGCTCACATTCAACGCCCAGTTCCTCGTGAACCCATCTCGTGAATTTGAACGGAAAGCGAGAGAAGGTGATGGTTTGAGTTTGAAGATGGGTTTAGTGTTGTTGTTAGAGAGGAAATTGGATCTGGGTGTGGTGTAGATTCTGGGGAGAGGTCTTAAACCACATTCTGATAAGACCAAGTTCGCCGCCATTTTCAGAGCGAGCTCTCTCTCTCCCCAGAAGAAGAGAAAAGAGAGTCTCTCTTGTTATCTCTCTGTTAAATGAGAGGTTAGTAGAGAGACAGAGAAGAGATAATGTGTATGTGATTATGTCCTCCACTTGATAAAGAGAGAGAGAGAGAGAGATATGTAATAAACTTGTGCTTGTTGTTGCTTGTCGTCTCTCTCTTTCTCTGGTTCCGGAGTGGTTTCCTTTATGAGGTCCTGATTTGGATTACTTATAGAGATTCCTTTTTAGTCTGAATGTGTGTGGAAAATCTGCAAGTAGAAAGAAAGGAGAAGAAAAGTTATTGCTGAGGTAAGTGATTTTGCTCGTGTGGGGATATTTTGGACGGTGTCGGTCAATTTTGACTCAAATTTGTTTTCATATTTATTCAACACGTATTTATAAGTTGATAATAACTCGTTTCTTTAATGCCTTTTTTATATGGTAAAGTGGAAGAAAGAAAAACAATGAGGCATATGTTTCATGACCCTTACTTTTATATGAAGGTACGCATACAAAAATATAATAAATAAATAATTATTCGAATTAATGCACATTGTTTAAATGACTCGTTAAAACATTGTTAGACAAACAAAAAAATTAAGAGGAATTTGGCCAAGAAACCTTTTGTGTGTGTGTGTGTGTGTGTTTTTGTAAGATTACCGAGTCAATCACGTTCCAATGTTTTTATGGGGCGTTGCGTAATACCAAGTCAGAAGTAGCCCTACATTGTAAGACAGTTTGAAAATTCGTTATTGGTATTTTCTTCTTAGTGTGGCTGCATGCGTTTGGGTTGATTTTGATGCTTGTTGCGTTTGCAGTTCACATATTGCCTAAAGGAATCAGTGATTGGCTCTCTCTATTTGCTCTTGTGTAGCTCTAAGAGTAAAGTTGATAGATTCTTGGCTGAATTACACACAAAGCTTAAAAGACAAAATTAGGATGTTAGACCAAAACAAATTTTCCCTAACTACATCTACTCTCCCTTGAGAAAAGACCATATCTTCTCTGACCACGTCTTGACTCTATTAGAATCAGAACATATCTTTGTTCCCTTAACATCCGCCCACATGTTCTCCCTTAGATCTTCAATTTCCATATCGGGCTCCCCGAAGTACTCCTCAACGTACTCCCTCATAAACTGAGAAACAAACAAGAGATGATGAAGATGAAATATAACAGCAAACGGTCACAAATCACAAACTGCTTTTTTTTTTTTTTTTACCCTTTGTCGCTCCTCCTCAATTTCCCATACACGATCTCCAAAATAAAGATTAGCTTAATACAAAAAAAAATCACAAGCTGGTTAATTCGACACAAAAATTAAATGAACTTAAAAACGTTTTGTCTCCATACCTAAGTAACATCCCAGAGTCAATCCTGCACCTTGAGTTAACCAGTCCATCGCCGTCTCTACAAACACAAACAACAAAGCAAAATCAATATACATACATATATATTTTTATTTTTGCCCTCCAAATACGAATACAACGAAACCCTAAGATTGCTCGCGAATTTGATAGTATAGAGTTCATGTTGTATCCTTGGAATTTTACCACCGGTGGTACGACGGGATGAACGGAAATCACGGCGAGACCGCAAGGAGGCTAATCTCCCACCGCGACGTGCCAGCAGCACAGTGACGTATCGCGGCGGCATGATCGGAAATTAGTGTTTCGTCTCTAGTTTCTTCCGATCCCAATCCTCGGGTCAAGTTGGCTCGCATTTACTTCTATCTTCCTATACTATTGGGCCCTAACCCGAGTTTTAAAAGTTGCTCAATGACAAGATTTTTCTTTTTCGGCTAAACAAATGACAAGATTTGTGTTGTATCCATAAATCATAAATGTTATAACACAAGTGTGCACCTAACTAAAACGACAATTGAGAATAATAAAATGAAGAAAAACAAAACAACATTACAAAACCATAGATATCCATTTATTTCCTTTGTTTTTGTTCACAGCATTAAACAAATCAAAAAAAAAAAAAAAAAAAATCCAAACAAAAATGAAGTTCATAGCATTAAACTATACACACATCTTTCCTCCTTAATTCACACTGAAGATGAAGTGAAATAGTTCACGCAGATCATGCTTCAACGCGTTCCAAATTGCTGCCTTGAAAACGTAAAATAAGAGAAAACACAAAATTAGATTCTAGTTTAATTACCTTTTATTTTTCAACAAAAAAAAAAACATACAATTCATACCAGTTCGTCGTGATGACGATTTTCGTGCAGAGCTCTCTCCATCGTTCGTCCGTATTCTACTAACTTGATAGTTTCTGAGGTATGAAACAAAGAAACAAATCGCCAAATTATTTTTTCCTTATATATCTATTAAACAAAACCAAAGTCTCAAAAATACAAAGTAATCTCAACATTACCCCAAACAGAGTAACCGAAAATTCCTTTGCAAACCGATGTGACGAAAACTGTAATTCTCTTCTCATACTCTGCAGTTGAAATAACAATCATACACCTGAAACTCCACCACGATCCGAGAGTAGACGCTCATATAGATATTCACGCGGAATCAGAGAACGTTACCAGGTGTAAAAAGCGATGAAGGAGGATTTGAGAGAGACCTCGTTGAGATTGATCTTCGTCCGTGATTCACCTGCGCAACGACGGATCTCAGATTCTTCAGCAGCATGATTGGATATTAGGGTTCGTCTCCAACTGATTTGTGTGATTTACACTGATCGCCAAAAAAAAGAAGGATGTTGGGCCTTAGCCCGAGTTACTGACATATTAATTATTTATTGAAAATTATATACTCCATGTAATAAAATCTGAATGATACATATGACTCGAATTATTAGGAACGTATTGAATCGAAAATATGGAGACGAGTGAGATCGAAGAGGTGGTGAGGTTGAGAATGGGATGGTGTGTGGCCCAAGTAAGTAACTCGGATATTTCGCGCTCAATATTTTCCTTCGATGTACGTAACAAATACAAATTCCAATCAAGCTTCAATCCCACTCCTCCGGTTTAATTTGGTTTAACACTATTAAGGCAAAGTTAATCATCATCATCATAGCAAAATGGGACCGCGTTAAGAAATTGTAATGACTGGAGTTGAGTATGTAGTTTGTTGACAGAGTATACTGCCATTGAGAAATAACATAACTATAATTAATTAAACGAATCTGAAAAGAAGGGAAAACAAGTCGGAGAAAAGGGGATAAACAATAATTATGCAATTTGTCTGGATTAGTACCATAGACAAACATACATACTCCCCCAAAGTAAGGGTCATTTGAGAATAATAATGCAAAAGGTTGGGAATATTTTGGACAACCAACCAAAACTTTATAAAAGTATTAATTATTTGTATATGTATGCGCATGCACATAACTATACCAATCTTATTTGATTAGTCTTACTACCAGCTAATTAAAATTTTCAAATTATCTAAATAAATAAGCTGAGCTACAAGATACAGCATACTACATGTCTTTGAGTTTCTTTTGTACATCCAAATGAATCTGATATTTTTATATTTTCGGTATTGTTATATAAGTATTGTTATTTTTTATCTCTGATTAAAATTGACTTATTTAAACACAAGTGGAAAACAAGGCTCCCCTGCCAATTTGGCAATTTTTATTTATATGATTTGTCTTGTTTTAGTATTTGCCGGGGCACTTTATTAGCTAGCATCTATTTATATACAGAGATAAACTTCCATGATACTATATGTATTTATGATTCAGATGGATACACACAGTGTTAGAGGAGAAATTAGCACATTTCCCTGAGTCTGTCATCATTAGTAGAGTTACAAAACCCAATCCGATTTTAGGCCTGATATTTTTAAGAAAAAAGCGAGACTTGAAGGGAAAGACACAATCTATGGAGAAATGTGAATAAATCTTCATGCCGACTTAGAGAATGGAAAAGATCCAAAAACAAGAGAGAATTTTCCATATCGCAAAAGAGAAAGTTTTTCATCTCACCTGAAGGAGAATATTCATCATTCGGCCAACCTATCAACACTATATATTGAAGACCCCCCCATTGGAGAAAGGCATCCGAAATCATCTAGAATCACTAGGCTCTCACGTTAGCTTTTACTCTATCCTCTTGTTTACCACCATAATCTCGCTAGGCTTGTTAGCGAGATCGCTCTCTTGTAATCTTCTTGATAATCTAAGAGTCGAATTAAGCGTTCCAGTTTCCTAAACTCACATCTTAGATAGCCCGTCTTGACGAGTGCTATCTCGGATTCAACACACAGGACATGTATTTCGATTGTGGTTCATAGTTCATAGATTGGGAATTCTTAGATATAGGCTTTGAATGGAAGTCCAGATCTGTTGCAGAATAAATACAGATAGATCAATCTGTATTTGATCTGTATTTAACACACAATCACCAATTTTAATGCAGATCAAAAAAATGCAGGAGAAAATATCTGATCTGTATACGATTAAAAACTGAACAAAATTTTTGCTCTGCATGTAGGCAGCTGAAAAGCACCGTACAAGTACAGATCTGTCTTTTTTTTTTCCTTTTCTTTTTTTTCTTCTCCTTCTCTCTTAATTGTTATTAATAGTAAATTCTTACTATTTACCTACAAATAAATCTAAAAAATTGTATTCAATCTATATTACATTATCAAACATAATTTTTTATATCTTACTATATATATTTAATTAAGAAAATTTGTATGAATATTAAAAATTTAAAGTATTTTGAAAACTAACCCATGTTTTCAAGATCTAGTAAACTAACTTTTTGCATCCAAAATATTATGAATAAACCAAATATAAAAGTTCTTTTAAAATCCAAATGTATTATTTCAAAATAATTTAGAAAAACATAAGAAAAATTATTATTACAACATAATCAGCTAAAGTAAGAATTGATGAATCATTAACGTTAACTACAAAAACAAATCTCATTTTTAATACAATGCATAACATAAGATAAAAGATGAGCTATACATAAGTAAGTTTCATTTTCATGTTGCAGATTTTTGAAATTTAGGTAATTGAATGATGAATGATGTATCTATTCGGACTCAAAAATCTAAACCGGAACCAACCTAAAAAACATCAAAAAAAAGTTTAGTATGACACTATTATTCCTAAAATATTATTTTAAAATTTTAAATTTAACTAATAAATAAAATATGAGTTCTACTTTCTTAATTTAAATTTCATTTTCACATAAAATGATGCATAAGAACAAATTTGTGTATATATATGATTGTGTATATATATTATATATATATGATATATGATATATATATATATATATAATGTCACTCCAATTCTAATATCCAAACCAGAACAGACATATTTTTGTTCAGACATATTTTCAAGATTTTATAATTATATTTTTGGATAATTTCTTGTGTTTTCGGATAAAATTTCAGAATCGGTTAGAATCAGAATTGTTTGAATATTTATTGATTTTCAAAAGTTATGAACTAAACCGAGTCAACTTATATTACTAGCCCCAAACCAAAAACAATTGAGTATAAAATTTATCTAACTGAAATATTTCAAACCAAAAGAAATCAACCTAAATGCAATCCAAAAATCCGATTATCAATACTAATTTTCGCGATCCGAAAATCGGAATGTCCAGACTAATTTTCTCGTTTTTGTTTGATCTGTATTTGATCTGCATGATCCGTATGATCTGTATTTGTTCTATCTGATCTGGATTTACTGTTTGATCTGCATATTTTAATCTGTGTCACCATTCGAAGCCATAGTAAACTCACTAAAACAATAAATAGTTACCTGCATTTTTTGTTGTTGCTTAATAGCATTTTTAAATTTTGAATCAAATGACAACGCAACAAAGATAATATATTTTAGACGTCGTATATTACCATTTTATTTTATTTGTTCTCGCTTTAACATTCCGCTATTTTCTTCAGCATAACCTATTGTTGTATTTTATATTTCACGATCTTAATCAATCTAGAAAACTAGGGTAACAAAATGACACACGTGTGAGTGTGTGAGTAAAGCTTATTTATTCCATGCGTACACGCAAGTCATACATATGATTTGACAAATACTCTTTTCTAGTAGTCACTTTTGCATTATCACAAGTATTTTTCCATAAAAGCCAACTCTCTACAACAACGTCATATCGATCTTTGAATGGCTTCCTCTTCGGCTCACCTCAACCACCACCAACTTCCGAACATCCACGGTGGAGCCACGGCGGCGCCTCCGCCAACTCCGTCATGTACACATCCCAACACCACCACTAAATCGGAGACAGCAGCAGACGCTCTCTCCCACCTATTCTACCGTCTTACACCTAATCTTTCACTCCCTAACCGCCGCTCCTCCGTCGCCGTATCCTCCACCGCCGCATCTCTGCCGACAGTATCTTTCTCCGCCGAAAGCTGTGACGATCTAATCTCCGCAGCTACTGAGTTCGGGTATTTCAACCTCACTAATGATGCCTCGGATGCAACCATCCCTTCTGGACTCGCTGAAGCGGCCGAGGCTGAGTCGCTCTCGCTCTTAGAGCTCAGCCAAGAGGAAAAGGAATCGTCGTTTCCGAAAAACTGGCCGCTTGGATACGAAGCCGATGCTGAAACGCCGTCGTTTTGCCTGGACGCGGACTGTACTACCGAGTCGAGCAAGTTAAATCTGATTTCACTGCGCGAGTTCACTCGGAGTCTTGAGAAAGTTGGACTGAAAACGGTAGAGAAGCTGGCGAGCGCACTCGGGTTCAAGAATCCGTTTGGAAATGACTCGAGCCGGTTTAGTACTCTGATGTGGCTTAACCAAGATGTTCCCGATGATAAACCGGCGATAACCAACGGATTTTATCCATTTGTTGTCTGTTTACAGTATCAGATAAGGGAAGAGAAGTACTGTTTGCTGTCCGAGTCTGGCTGGGTGTCGGTATCGCCTCGAGTTGACTCGGTCCTCGTGACGCTAGGTGACATTGCTCAGGTTAGTTATCTACTTATCTTCTTAACTTTTTTAAAAAAAATCAAATTAATTATCGCATTATCATCTTTATCTTTGTGATTAGATGAAGATTTGTTCCACGATGTCGTTTTCTCGCTGGTTCGAATTTCTTCGAAAATGTCAGCATTATTTTTTAATGCACTATATATTGTACATGTCTTTATCAAGGTATATAAATGCTTTTCTTTTTCCCACGCATTGATCAAATAGAGAACATAGATTTGGATATTACCGATATCATCTATTGTTGACAATGGCAACAATTTATATGGGAATGTGTTTTCATTTGATTTGAGACAAAATTTTAATGGCATTGGGAAAGAAATACTATGACTTTTGGAAACTCTCGAATATACTAATTAGAAACACAATCCGTATATTGCAATAGTAAATTTCAGCTTGAATTTAATAATTTATTTTCTGGTTAAACTTTCCTTACTTATAAAATGAAACACAAACGGAGTTTTTAATTACATCTAGGTTAATTCAAATGCGTAAAGTTAGTTTAACTTGCTGTGATTCCGATCCCAAAAGACTATGAGTCCTAACGTCCGAAGCTTTCTATAATATATAGCGTAGCTAGTTTTAACTTTGAACCTCTATAAAACAACTTAAAATTTTGTAGGTTTGGAGAAATGGAGAGCTCAAAAGAGTGAGATATCGACCGGTTCCGTGCTCGGGACAACTTGATGGTCCAAGAAAGTGTGTAACAATGACATTGATGCTTACACTTCGCATGGACACTACGGTTTCTCCATTGAAAGATTTCAGTGACATTGATAAAGACGAAGAGTATGCAGAGAAGGAGGCGGAGGAGGAAGGGGAGGTGGAAGATGGAGGAGCAAGAAGTAAGGAGAGAAGAGCATTTACGTCTTTTTGTTTTGAGGATTACGCATGGAGAGTGTACCATGAACGTCTCTTCCTCAAGGACCCGCTTGACAGATACAAAATCAAGTCTTAGAAAGATTTAAGAACTTGTGTTTAATTCGTTTGTTTCCTGGATTGAATTGTTATTAGGTCGGAACTTTTGTTACTTTATTTTTCCATAATATCGTCTGATTTTTTTTCTTTCTTCAAATTGGCATTTTTGCATGGAGGTATTTTGGTGTTTTTTTCCCTTCAATTCAGGTTACTTTGTTCATAATCACTTGGCCATCATCAGCAATTACTTTTGTTAATCATTCCTTTTTGGCTTACTCTTCCTCTTTATCAATATCACTGAAATCTTTCAGTGGAGAAACCGTAGTGTCCATGCGCCTTGATATACTTTGATAGTATCAGGGGAAGTTGATGTGAGGGCTATTCACCATGCGGCTAGACTTGGATTGTCTTGGGCATTCAAGTCATGAAACCATGTGAAGTTCTTAATTGTCTAGTTATGACTTTTTGGTTACTTGTTTTACTAAGTTTGTTTGTTCAGCATGTTCATGGAATTGATCATAACAATACATAAAAATCATATCTTACATTATTGTATATATTTTTGGATCGGTTTTGGTTTGTTTGATTTAACGTGATGTGGTATCCCATCAAAATAAAGCAGCAATTAGGTTTATGAAACATTATAAAGGTAATTCAGATCAAATTCTCAGAAAGGTTTGTTCGCCCAACTCCTCTTTGCTCTTTAGTCATTAAAAGTAAGGGTCATGAAATAATGTCCATCAGCTAACATTTTTTTTATTTTTTATAGACATGTATTTGTGATAACTTCATACATTAAAGTAAGGGTAATGAATTTTGTTAATCGAACCAAAACCAAATTAAACTGAACCAATCTTAAAGTAATTCCAGTCAGTTACTTTTTGATGATTTCAAACACAACGGAAACATCAAAACTAGCAAACAATTGTATTTTCATAACCTTTTTGGAATTTTAGAGGTCAGTATGGTCAAAACTGAAGATAAAGTTCAATCCAAAAGCAAAAGATTTCAGAAAATACTCAATTTCTTGTTTTTTTTACAGTTAACATTATATCTATTTTTAAGATTTCCTTGAAACTTTTCAGATTTTCACTAATAAATAATTCAATGACATTAGATATGTAAATTTCATGACTTAAAAGTCCATCGACATTAATATTATACTACACATTCTTTTCTTTTTGCATATGAATGATTGTTTCAAAATTTGTCCTTGATTTGCACCGATAGACATACAAATATTTATTTTCACCAATTTGAGAGATAGTGGTTTATGTATAACACATGGAAAACTTGTAAATTTACATATAAGTGATTGAGGTAAGTCGTCAAGTTAATTGAATTACAAATTAAGGGATAAATTTTATCTGAAAATATATTGTCTTCATTTCACCAAAAAAATCTAAAGAAAGTGTAAACTAAAACCTAAGTTTTTGATTTAGAGCGAATTAAACCTAGATGTTATTTCCATTAAATTACTATCGAGAACCAAAACACATTGTCATAATAATTAGCAAATGGCATAATTTTGAATGTCCAAAAACAAAAATCTTCCCAAATAAAACATTGCATTCTGTCACAATTTGGGAAAAAAACAAACAGTGAAAACGAAGATTCATTGGTAAAATCAAATATGTTTCCACATACAAGGCTCACGATTTATCATAGATTTAATTTGTATTTTGATTGTTTGTTTATGATTTGTTAATTTATCTGTTTTTCTTTATTTTAGATTGTGAGTTTATTTGTTCAATAATTTCGGTTATGAACATATTTGTTGATGTGAAATTATTTGATAACTAAAAATTGGGTTTAAATTCGACTTGTAGTCATTCAAACATCCAATGTTTAACATGAATAATTTATAGGGTTTGATCTGCACAAAACTAAAATATAGGCACTAATTTACATCTTTTTTTTTGGTTGGGTTTGTTTTTGTAGATTTTTATTTGCAAATTCCCCTACTTGTTACTGTACGTACGCATAAAAAATTCCCAAAAACACTGTTTGTGTTAAAAGACCCATTGATTGGCTCGGATCAAACTGGACCCGATCTAACCCGTTAATTTGCGAAAAAGCACATCGTACAGCTCAGGCACTTGTAGCACGTCGTCTCTTTTGGTACTCCCCTTATATTCGTCGAGTGACTCCGATTGGATCGCTGTTCGTCATTTCCCACTACCAAAAAGTCTCTCTCTCTCTTCCACCACCTTTCTTCTTCACTTGCCTCAGATCTGGCAGCGATTTCAAATCTTCTTCAGTTTCTCTCGCATCGCTCCTCTTTCCCCTGGCCGTTGACGGTCCCGTCCCGGCCGTGGATCTGATTTTGGCCCCGGATTCTCTTGCCGCGATCTGAGGTCAAACATGGCGGCAGCAAACGCCCCCATCACGATGAAGGAGGTCCTGACGGTGAGTTATCTATCATCCATCTCCATTTTCAGAAATATATCTAATCGAGCTAGAATTTCGGACGATTAAGATGTTTCTGTAGCTGCAGTCTCCGATTTCTAACGATTTGGTTCTGCTGTGACTGTTAATGATTGATTCCAGTCTCTTACTGTTTTGAATTCTGATCGATCGGTGCTGTATCAGTCAATTTTTCTGTGTGGATAGTTTGTATAATGCCATGTCTTTGATTAGATTCCCTTACAAACGCTCAGATCTGTGTGACCTGAATGTATCGAGCCCGAATCATAAGTTGTTTTGTGTAGTCCAATGCGCTGATTTACTCGGATCTCGTAACTAAGTACATGAACTATGCGACATGACGCTTTGTTTTCAATTTCTTTTTCCAGCTTCCGAGCATTGGGATCAATCAGCAATTCATCACGTTTACAAATGTTACTATGGAGTCTGACAAGTACATATGTGTACGAGAGACGGCACCGCAGAACAGCGTTGTAATTATAGATATGAATATGCCGATGCAGCCTCTAAGGAGACCCATCACTGCAGATTCTGCTCTTATGAACCCAAACTCGAGGATCCTTGCCTTGAAAGGTATTTTTGACTGTTTCCTTCTATTGCTAAATCGTGCGTCATGCTTATCAGTTATAAAACCTAGAATTGTTTCCTTTTGAAGTTTTTTCTCAAGCTACCATTGATAACTGAACTTCGTTTTGTTAACAACATATGATATCTATTACGGATAGGATGCTTTTAATGTTATCTTGCTCATAAACCCTCATGATTCAACTTTTAAATGAGAACGTGCCTGTTGTGATACATCATTTAATTAGAAAACCTATTATATTGAATCAGCATGGAAAAGTAACTACACTCATATGTTTCGGTCCTATGCTACTTATTTCTCCTTTGTTGCTCACTCTATTCCTTAATTTGTATATAGCTCAAGTTCCAGGAACTACTCAGGATCATCTACAGATATTTAACATCGAAGCAAAAGCAAAGTTGAAGTCACATCAGATGCCTGAGCAGGTGACTATTGAAACAAACTATTTGTAACGCGATTATCTTTCATGTTGTACACTTAGATTTTTGCTGGCCTGAATCTAATTTTTGAATATTAACCACCCATGCTTTATAGGTTGCTTTTTGGAAATGGATTACACCAAAAATGCTGGGGCTGGTCACACAAACTTCGGTGTATCATTGGTCGATTGAAGGTCTTATATCTTTAACTTACTGTCGTCTTCTTCATATCATGTATATGTTGTTTCTCATTTTACTCCGATATTTCCAGGTGATTCTGAGCCAGTTAAGATGTTTGATAGAACGGCCAATTTGGCAAACAATCAAATTATCAACTATAAGTGCTCTCCTAATGAGAAGTGGTTGGTATTGATTGGAATTGCTCCTGGCTCTCCTGAGGTAGGTTTCCTGCGCCACATATTTGGTTGAATGAAGACATCATTACGGCAGTCATTGTATATATTCTTGACTGAACCATGTCATTATAATCTTCTGTAGAGACCACAATTGGTAAAAGGGAATATGCAGCTTTTCTCTGTGGATCAACAGCGGAGCCAAGCCCTTGAAGCACATGCTGCTTCATTTGCTCAGTTTAAGGTAAACTATGTGCCTCTCTTGTGAGTTCATTCGGTGGTCTGATCTTGAACTGTAGCATGACAAGCAACATTACGAACCATAGGTACCCGGGAATGAGAATCCTTCTATTCTTATATCCTTTGCAAGCAAGAGCTTTAATGCTGGGCAGATAACATCAAAATTGCATGTCATTGAGCTTGGTGCCCAACCAGGTTAGCTTCCTCAAATGCTCTATTTTTTTCATGGGTTAGTGTCTTTGGTTACATATTTAGTTAGTAATCATCTGATGTCTAAAGGTGGAGATTTTTTTTTTTGGCAGGAAAACCATCATTTTCAAAAAAGCAGGCAGATCTCTTTTTCCCCCCAGATTTTGCTGATGACTTTCCTGTAGCCATGCAGGTTTGTTGTTGCATTAGAAGTTCAATTAACTTCAGTAAGTTTCTGGTGACAGTTTCGTGACACTTTTTTTTTTCCTTTTCTGAACAGGTCTCTCACAAATTTAACTTGATATATGTCATCACCAAGCTTGGCCTGTTGTTTGTATACGATTTGGAGACAGCTTCTGCTATCTACAGAAATCGGATAAGTCCAGACCCAATTTTCTTGACTTCTGAAGCTTCCTCAGTTGGGGGGTTCTATGCCATTAATAGGCGAGGACAAGTTCTTTTGGCTACAGTAAATGAGGCCACGATTATACCTTTCATTAGTGGTCAAGTATGTTCAACTTTTATTCTGTTTCCCGATATAACCTACCGGTGTCATCACGTGCTGCTAAGAATTCTATGCTTTTGTATCACAGTTGAACAATTTGGAGCTTGCTGTCAATCTTGCTAAAAGAGGAAACCTCCCTGGTGCAGAAAATCTGGTATGTGGTGATGTTTACCTTGGTTCAGATTTGTGGTACAGTTCTCTTGCTGAAGTAATTATAGTTGACGAATGGCAGCTTGACAAAAAAGAGATTCATTCTTTGATATGAAGTTTCTCATATTCAGTTTGGATGTTGCAGGTTGTCCAGCGGTTCCAAGAGTTATT